AGGAACCATATCGGAAGCTGATGGAGAGACTCGGAGCTGAATATAGTCACTGGATGGGGTGTGGGGCTATCTCCCTTGGGAAGGGGTGTGTTCTCTCTGTGAGAAGAGCAAAAACAGGTATCTGGCTCAGAAAGACTGACTGAGGCAGACGGGGACACACAAAAATCTGTCTTTTCTTCTTCTTAAACCCACATCCAGACTTCATGTTCCAGTAGGGTTGCCAGATTTAGCATATAAAAACACAGGATGCCCAGTGAAATTTGAATTTCAGATAAACAACGAAGACTCTTTTAGTATGTCCTGTGGAACATTTGGGACATAATTCTACTGAAAAAATATTTGTTTACCCCAAATTCAAATTTCACCAGGCATTCTGTGTCTCATCGGGCAGCCCTCCTTCCCGGCCTCCCTTTGCAGTTAGATGCGGTGGGTGACTGAGGTCCGGCCGGTGGTGAGAAATGTGCCCTTCTCCCAGGCCTGGCCTCTTAAAGCCTCTCCAAAAGCAGAGGACTCTGAGCATCTAGAGGAGGGGAGAGTCACACAATGGAAGGAGCCTGCGCCCTGAACGAATGAGTAGAACAGGCCTCCCTCCCCAAACCTGCATTAGACCAGCAGTGAGTCTGTCTTGAATAATATCCCTAATCCTTAAATCCAATAGCTCTTCTCATCCTTTCCTTAACAGCATATGGCTTTGGTCACCATTTCTTTCTTTTTGAAACTCTCCCTTCCCTAATATTATTATTTTCTCATCCTCTAATGATGATGAGGAGGAAGAGAAAGAAGAGGATAGGTGCCACGCACCAAGTTCTTAACTACGGGCCAGGTGCTGTGCTAGTGCTTTATCTAGCATCTCATTTAATCCTCCTAACTTCTCTGCGTGGTAGGTAAAATCACTCCCATTTTCAGAGTGAGACAACAGGTGTAGAGAAGTTGAGTCACTTGCCCAAGGTCTCACAGGCTCTGCTTCTCTCTCTACACTCTTCCTTTTGACAGTCCATCCGATCCTGGCCTCTGTGACGATCGTGTCTTGTGTGGATGGCTCCCTGACCTCTCTCCTTGTCTCCACTTGCACATTTCCTGGCACATGAACGTGCTGACGGCATTAAACTCAGCACCGCCCAAGTGTGCAGCTACTCCTGTGTCATACTGTCCTCCATGCTTCTCCTTCAATTTCCACGACAACCCTGAGACATGTTATTCATAATTAAGAGGTACAGTGTTATCCACATTTCACAGATGAGTGAACGAGGCTCAGAGATTCAGGATCTGGCTCAGGTTTACACTCGAGTACACAGCAGCTCTCAGGGACAATACCTCAGTTCTACTCAAACTGAGCTCTCCCTGTCCTGTTTGGCTGCCTGCTTCCCATACTCACCTCTACCCTTAACTTTCAAATCCTCCCATCTTTCAGAGGCCAGCTCAAGGGCTATTTCCCCACCGAGTCTGTTCGGGTATACCAAGCTTGAAGGGATCTCCACCTTGTGTGAATTTACAGAGGACTCACTCTGTATCTCACTTATCTTTTCGGAAGCATACAAGCAAAACTCTAATTCCTCCTCCTCATTAAAAAGTTCAAGGGGAGAGGTACAGAGCAAGAAGTTTATGTGGCTCTTCGGTCCCCAGAATTTATCAGTTTCTTTCTTTCTTTCTTTTTTTTTTTAAGATTTTATTTATTTATCTGGGGGATGCCTCGGTGGTTCAGTCAGTTAAGTTGCTGCCTCCGGCTTGGGTCATGATCCCAGGGTCCTGGGATTGAGTCCCACATCGGGCTCCTTGCTCCGTGGGGAGCCTGCTTCTCTATCCACCTCTGCCTGCTTGTGTGTGATCTCTCTCTCTCTGACAAAAAAATAAATAAAATCTTTTTTTAAAAAAGATTTTATTTATTTGGGAGAGAGATAGCACAAGTTGGGGGCAGAACAGAGGGAGAGGGACAGACATCCTGAGTGGGGAGCCGGATGGGGGGCTCGATGCCAGGACCCCGAGATCATGACCTGAGCCAAAGGCAGACACTTAACTGACTGAGCCACCCAGGCGCCCCTACCAGTTTCTATCTTGATGAAAGTTTCTGTGTATATGCTACCACCTCTATTAGAGAATTATTTGAGGATGGGATGTGTGGCAAGTCATCTTCAGTCCCTAAAATAGCCATTCATAAACAATTGTTGAAAGAACTGATCAATTTCAAACCCTCTGAGCCTGCACACACTACATTCAGATGAAGGTGAGAAGGTCTGTTTAGGAAAAGTGATTTTTCCCCAAGGGGACTGGTAAAGACATGTCAAACACTCCCTTTCCTCCCACCTTCATTAAAGAACAAAAAAGCATCTACTTCTTAGGTGTATGAAGCGTCTGGTTTCTGTTTTAGCTGGGTCTCAGAAGGAAATGACTTTTCTCTGAAATTGTAGACGCCCAAACCAGCTGCAGCATTGTTAGGCCTCAGGGTAAACAGGAAGCTTCCTGCCTTAGGCCCTTCATGTCCCTCTCCCAGACTATTAAAGACTGTTAATAGGATGGTAAAAGGACAGCTGCTGGCCGTAAAAATCAGCCCATTCCTTAGATCCTTGGAGAATAGCAACTAGATCCCTCCAAGTTCAGAGAGAAAACTGTGCCCGTCCCGTCTCCAGGTCACACACCAGGTGCCTTCACCAAGCCGGGGTCCTCAGTTATCTCCGCTATGATTAACTGTAACCGCAATGGCCTTTGCAGAATACCAAGAGTTTGGTTCCTTTGGTTGCTTGCATTAGTTGAGAAGGTAGTATTTCCATTTATAGGGTTTCTGGTCCTTGAAATTATTTGTTTTGGGGAGCGATCCATCCTGAGGATCCCCAAAAAAGAGGTAAAGAAGAGAATCCAAGACAGCAAAGGATCTAGAGCTCCTAGCTCTGCGATACAGGGCTGAAACAGGACCTCAAGTCTTCGTGCACACCGGGTGGAAGTCCCTGGATTTGCAGCTGTTGGTGAGGAGGGAGGGAACAGTTTCTGCCAGCTGGAGGGACACTAGGGCAGGGGTTATCCTCTTCTGCCAAGAAGGGCACTCGGGTGTCTTGGCAGAAGGCAGAGGGCTGCCCCGATCTGTGTGTACATTTTCAGAAGCATTTGACTCTGGACCAAATGCTCTCAGCTGTGCTAAAGCTGGGGCGATGGATGGGAAATGCTTATTGGCCAGGCTGACTAGAAGCTCTGACAGAGGGTGCTGGGGCTCAGCCAGGAGCTTCCCTGAAGCTGGCAAGTTCAGCTTTCTGTCATGGTCAGAGGGAGTGTGTCAAAATTCCAATTCTCAGTGCCCTCCAGAAGCTATGATTACCCATCTATTTTGACGTTTCTGCTTGTTGGAATTTCTAATAGGGAATGAGTGGTGATGCTGCAGAGCCTCTAACCTGGCCCAAAGAATGAGCACAATAGCTCAGCAGGAGTCACCGCTCTTCCTACCAGTACAGTGATGGGCTCCTAACCAAATGGGGGCCAGGAAGATACTATTTCATTCAACCTTGGACTTAGCCACAATTTATCAATTCATGCTGCCTTGTTGGCTCCTCCGACCCATGTCTACCCATCAAGCAAGCACAGGCACTCGGGCACGGCAGGAAAACCAGTCACCACTTTGACCGTTTACTTACCTGGCACAGATTTACTTCCACAGGAAGAGAGCCTGATTGGCTATGTGTCACTGCTCTCCCTCATTCAAAGGAAGGATCACTTCAGTTACGCCTCGAGTTGCACCTGAAGAGGGAGAGTTCTGAGCACTGAAAGCAAGAGAACTGGATAGCTTGTCCTCAATCACATGTTTGAGCCTCTCCTTAAGTGCTCAGGCTGGGTGGATGCCATTGCTTAAGGCAGGTCTCAAGATCTTAGAGCCGAAAGGGACCTACTATATTACATGGCCCATGCGCCTCGCCTCTTCCAGGAGGATAATATCATTTCCCCCAGTTTCAGAAGAGGTCAGTAAGGCTGTGAAAACTCTCCCGAGGTCACACAGCTGGTAAGTGGGGTTTTACTGAGAGGACCAGGTCTCCTGGTTCTTTGTACCATGTTCTTTTTACCGTGACTTTCCCTCTAAGTATTCCATATTATTATTATTATTTTTTAAAGATTTTATTTATTTATTTATTTGACAGAGAGAGAGAGAGAGAGAGATCACAAGTAGGCAGAGAGGCAGGCAGAGAGAGAGGAGGAAGCAGACTCCCCACTGAGCGGAGAGCCCGATGCGGGGCTCGATCCCAGGACCCTGGGATCATGACCTGAGCTGAAGGCAGAGGCCTTAACCCACTGAGCCACCCAGGCACCCCAGTATTCCATATTATTTTTAAAAATGTAATTCAGGGACACCTGGGTGGCTCAGTCAGTTAAGTGTCTGCCTCCAGCTCAGGCCGTGATCCCACGGTCCTGGAATCGAGTCCCACATCGGGTTCCTGCTTCTCCTTCTGCCTGCTGTTCCCCCTACTTGTTGCTCTCTTTCTCTCTTGCTTGCTCTTTGAAAAATAAATAAAATCTAAAAAAAAAAAAGCAAAGCAAAACAAAAACACATAATTCAGGGGCACCTGGGTGGCTTAGCCAGTTAAGTGTCCTACTCTTACTCTTAGCTCAGGTCTTGATCTTACAGTCATGAGTTCAAGTCCTGCCCAGTGTGAAGCCTACTTAAAAATAAACAAACAAATAAATAAATACATAAGTCATTGCACGCATAACCAAAAGGTGTTTAATTTGCATATCTTTTTAAGATTTTTCATATAAATAAATGAACAAATCATGAAAATATTCAGAAACAATGTCCCATTTTATTTTATTTTATTATTTTTTTTTTTAAAAAACTGTATTCTTTTTTTTTTTTTTAAAGATTTTATTTATTTATTTGACAGAGAGAAATCACAAGTAGGCAGAGAGGCAGGCAGAGAGAGAGGAGGAAGCAGGCTCCCTGCTGAGCAGAAAGCCCGATGTGGGGCTTGAACCCAGGACCTGGGATCATGACCTGAGCCGAAGGCAGCGGCTTAACCTACTGAGCCACCCAGGCGCCCCACAATGTCCCATTTTAAAAAGATGGTCCTACTTTACTTACTACTGCCAGGACACCATCCAGGCCTCCACCATCATGTGTGGACTATTACCGGCCCGTTAGCTAGAGCCTTTGGTGAGACTGACATTTAAACACTTACATTTACATTGACATTTAAATACTTTAAAGTTTACAACTATCTCTGCTATGCTTGGTTGACGAGACAAATGCAAGTGTACTTTAGACTCGGAGAATGAGATTTCTTCACTCACAGAGAAAACAGGTACTACTCTAAAATTTGCCATAGCCGGGACAAGACGGGGCTCTCCAGTGGCTCATACTTCTCCCATTCCTGACCAGCCTTCAGAGAGACTGGAGGTTCCCAAAGGACAGAGCAAGGGTCCCGGGGCAACACAGACAGTCCCAGTGTGGATCTGTACTTCCAAGCCCCTGAGACTCCAGGTCATGTCCAAGGTAGGAAGTTGCAATGTAGGAGCAGTCCCAGAAGCCAATAAGACAGGAAGTAGCCCAGAATGCATCGTGTGACTAGAGAACAGGTTTTCCAGTTGTATAAAAGTTCCATGATGGAATTTCTGGGGACCATTTGTCCTGGCAGGGAGTCCCCTACACGGGGCTTCCAAGGCACCGTCTCTAGGGATCTCAGCAGTGGCTCCTGATTATGAAGCAAATAAGCTGGAAACCAGTACACGAGAGGAGTGGAGGAACCTAGAAACCTGGTGAGAACCTGGAAATCGTAAGAGGGGGGAAAACCCACACATTTATTAGACTATCACTGCTTCACACTGGACCAGCCCGGGGCTTCCCTGCTGCTGGGTCAACTACAGCCCCATGACTAGAAAGGTATTGTTCTGGAAAAGGGATTCAGCAGAACTTAGGATCTGCCTTATAAAGAGCTGTGTGTGACACCAGCCAGGTGACCTCAGTGCTACAAATAAGCAGAGCCACAGACTAATTACCACAGTCATAGGCCAATCAATACTAAAAACTACGAGGTCCAATTTTAGCCTAGGGCCTGGACTCTAACCACTAGGCTGTGACATGGGGCTTTGGGAACCTGAAGGGGTTCCCTCATGCCCTGGGGTTGGCAGAACAGAAGGAAAGGGGGCAGGGCATCCTGCGGTTCAACATTTTCCGTCCTAGGGGAGTTCAGAGCCAAGTCTCCACATGGCCTCCCTCATCTAAGCTGGAAACTCCAAGCTGTGCTGGCACTTGCTCTACCAGTTAATCCAGCTACAAACACAGAATGCTACTTTCTGTTTCCCCTGTGCCTCTTATCCACACAGCCCAGAGAACTTTACAAACAGCCAATGTGCGCCGCCAAGAGGCAGAAGCTGTTAGGGAGCAGCTGACATGGAGGACTATGACTTCCTCAGGGTTATGTGGCAACCGGGGCCAGAGCCAGGAATAAAAGAATGGAAAGTATCAAAGGCTTGCCACCCTTCTATCGCCCCCTCCCACCCTAAAGATGACACAAGGGATCTCCTGGAAAGACTGAGCACCTGCCAGGGCTGAGAGTACCTTAAGTCAACACCCAAGGAGGCACTGTCAGGGAAGGTCCTGTGCTCTCCTCTGCGCTGACTCCTTTATCTGTCACTTAAGCTCCTTCCACGACTGTCGCGTCTCTGCATGCACCACTGATTTGCCCAGAATACTCTTCCTCTGCTTCTTAAATGCAATTCCTTCCTACTCTTTAGGACCCAGCCTTCATAGGACACCCTCCTCGACTCCTCCCGTCTGTTAGCTACTTTTTCCTCTGTGTTTCCACAATCCTTTACTTCAAAACAGCAACTCTTCTTCGATCCCACTGAACTAGAATTTTATCTGTGAAGTGTCTGTCTCCCCATTTCTACCATGAATGAGACCCACGATGGCAGCAATCCTGCCCCACTCATGTTCCATTCCTCAGTGGTCTGATCCAGGGTCTGGACAAAGAAAACCCCCTAATAGCTGGCAAATGAATAAATTAGGCACAGGTCACTCAAGTGGGAAGAAGCGAGCAGTCTTCCTTGACCCTGGCCAGGGGGTCTTGCCTGTATTCCCACCCTTACCCCGGCCAGGAACACCCCTCACCTGAACATGCATGCAGAGTCCGCCGAACAGCGCCAGCACCGCGGCATGGACCAGGTACACAAACACCGGAGGGCCGAGGAATCCGCGCTCGGGCTTCTCTGGGGTCTTACTGTTCTTGCTTCTTTGCATCCCAAGCGTAACGCAGAGCCAAGGGTGGGTGGTCACATATGTCCATGTTGCCCCGGCAACCAGGATAGCCATTGGTGTGGCCAGAAGGAAATTGGGCACCTGCTTGAGCTCATAGTATCTCAAAAAGCCAACATTCCAGTAGATATCCTGGATATAGCTATATATTAGGGGCAGTTCCCAGGAGCACCAAGGCGGCTCATTTCCCTCCACAGTCCGGTAGCCTTTGTCCACGGCCAACTGCCGCAAGGGCTCCGGGATGGGGCGGACTGAGCCTGACAGACAGAACTGGGTATAGCCATAATACTGAAAGAGAGCAAAGGGAAGGCCAAGCGCAAACACAGACAGGAATACGGAGCCCATTAGTTTCAAGAGTGCTCTCAGAGGATTCAGCACCATGGGAGAGAACATAAAGCCTTGGCACTGAGAATACACGAGGAAGCCAATGTTGACCAGCCCGTTGGAGCGTACGCCAGTGGCAAGGGCAAAGAGGAGGCCACTAGTCCAGCTTCGGCCCCTTTCCAGCTGTCCCATGGCACTGAACGTCAGGAGGGCAAACAAAGCTTCTGAGTAACCAGCTGCCAGGAAGACGTTGGCGGGGCTGAGGCAGAAGAGTAGGGCTCCATAAAAGGCCTGGCGGGGACAGCGCAAAACGAGACAGCCCAGGTCGTGAAGTGCGACAGCGGCCAGCACGGAGAACAAGGAATTGAGCAGCGCTACTGAGATTAACAGGCGACTTCGTAGGTTCAGCAACGGCCACAGGGGCCTCAGTAGTTCAGCTCCCACCAAGAGAGCCAGGGGGAAGCCAGGGAAGAAGGCAAAGTTGTGCTCATATAGATAGCCACGCTCGGCAATGAACAGGAAGTGTTCGGCATCCCAGTGAGACAGGCCACCCAGAAGACCTTCGACGATTTGGTCCACAGAGCCTGAGGGGGTGAAGCGAGGAGGAGAGAAGGCTTCTGCATGGTGATCGGGGATGATGGCATTGAAGAGAGCCTGTGGGATGAAGGAGAACTAGGATTTCAGTTGAGCAAGTGAAGGAAAGAATTACCATATCATAAAATGAGGAAGAACAGACTTGTTGGAGGACAATCAGGAGTTCAGTTCTAGACTAAGTTTGAGCTACACATTCCAGGGCAGAGGTCAACGAGGCAGACACAGGAGTCTGAGGGTCAGGAGAGCGATCAGGGCTGGAGACATAAATTCAGATGTCCTGAGTGTACAAAAGGTATTTAAAGGCGTGGGACTGAATGAGATCACCTGGGGAGGAAGGAAGCAGGGCTAGAGAAAAGAGATCTGAGGATTGGGCCCTGAATGCGTCAACGTTTAGAGGCCTGAAGGAGAGTGAGGATCCAGAATGAAGATAAAGAAGGAAAACCAGGAGAGCAGGGTGTCTTAGAACCAAGTGAGGCAAGGTTGTGATCAATTCTGTTAAATGCTGCTAATAGTTTCAAGGAAGATGGGGACTGGGGCGCCTGGGTGGCTCAGTGGGTTAAGCCTCTGCCTTCGGCTCAGGTCATGATCTCAGGGTCCCGAGATCCTGCTCAGTAGGGAGCCTGCTCCTTCCTCTCTCTCTGCCTGCTTCTCTACTTGTGATCGCTCTCTGTGTCAAATAAATAAATAAAATCTTTAAAAAAAAAAAAAAAAAAGGAAGATGGGGACTGAAAAGTGCCTGCTGGATTTAGAAATGGGTAGGTCACTAGTTAAGTTTGACAAGAGCTGTTTCAGTGGAGTGGAGGCTAGAGAAGACTGCTGAGACTGGGCTCAGCAGAGAAGGGGAGAAGGAAAGCAGATAACTACCTGGACGAGTTTGGCTGTAAATGAGGTAGTAGGTGAATGACGATGTGGGAGAGAAGCATTTGTGAATGGGGATAATCCAGTGGAAAGGACACCACTAAGTATTGCTGGAGCAGGCACAAGGCAGGTAGGAACTGCTACACAGGCAGAGGAGCAAGGCTCAGGGAGGACAGCAGGCCTTGGCCTGCTTCAGCAGCGAAGGCACACGGGGGCCACACATGGGATGAATGTGGGGGGGAGCACACACAAGGTCAATTCTGATTACATCTATTTTTCTGAGTTTTCGCTCAGGGAAGCAAGCCGGGGAAAAGGTGTTAGGGACTTGAATTAAAAGATAAACATGTAAAGTAAGTCCTCTTGACCCCTAGTTCTCGAAATAGGCTGTGCACTGGAATCACTCAGGGAATTTCAAAAATACGGATGTCTGGATGGCTGGGTCCCTCCCCCAGGATTAATGATTTAACTAGTATGGGATACAGCCTGGGCATTGAGTTTTTTTGGTTTTTGATTGTTTTTTTAAGCTCCCCCAAGTGACTCTGATGTGCAGAACAATTTGAGCTAATGGCAAGGTGAATGGGCCAGGGAAATACACTAAGATCGCCAGGTAGCACTAAAGACTCATGTTGGCCAAAGATCTTGAAGAGAAAGCGACTAGTCAATACAGCTGTGTGTTTCTCTCTGGGCATGATGCAGAAGTAGAGAGAGAACGAAACTGAACTGTACCTGGGCGTCTGTCTTGTGACTAAGCCGGGGAGAAGGGAGCGAGCGAGTTGTGCCTGTGTGCCTGGTGGATCATGGAATCTAGCTGGGTAAGAAGGGGTGCAGAAGCCAGAAGGTAAATGAGGCACAGTGAAACAGTGGTAGAATCAGTGGACTGTAAGTCCTCAGGGGGTGGAAGAGCCGTTAAAACTGGGGTACTTACAGGGAGTGAACTGGAAAGATAGGAGATAGTGGTTAGTCCTATCAGCTTTATTAATATTGAGACCACCAAGAAATTAACAGGAGTGCTGGAAAGCGCAACAGTGAATCAGGAGCTTAAACCTTCAAGGAATGAAGAGGAATGAGCTGTCACTAACAGAGACGACAGCAAGAGTGAAGGGTAACTGGGGCGAACATCTGATGGCATGAGCATTAAGCTGGAAGGGGGATGGGGGAGAGAGAGGGATAATGAAATAGCATTATTGTTAAATGTCTTTTTGCCTCATCAGATTGTCAGCTACTCAAAGGAAAAGACTGTGACTTTTCCTTCCCACCACCTAGCACAGTTCTTGGAACAGAGCACACACTTAATACAAACTGTGATAGAGTGAGAGGAGAGGACAGGAGACATACTCATTTCCAAATCACTATCTGAATTAGTCTTGCTTCCCTATCCCAGATGCCAGTTCACCAGGCTTCCCCAGGGGCCTGGTAATCACTCATCTGATACTGTTCAAAGCCATCATTGGGTCAGTTTTCCCAGCCCCACAACTGCGATATAACCCCATTCTTAAGACTTTCTCTTTTTGGTCAGTTTCTTTATCAGGCTACTTTAAACAGTGAAAACGAATGGGACAGTAGTGACAGTCACAGATAACAGCCCTAGTCTCCAAGCTGAAGCTACTTTTAACTAAACCTGGGGCCCTGCAGAGGCTGCTAGGCATCATAGTGCAGGAAGGGAGAAAGGAGGTTTCCAGAAAGGAGAAAGAGAACCCTGAGAAAATGGCATCTGTGGAAAAAGCACACATAATTATGCTAATATAACACCACTAGATTGCTGACAGACTTTCAACAACAACACATACTGAGCACATACTAAGCACTGGTCAATGTGCTAGGCACCAGACAGAATTCATATATATGTGAAAATTGGTTAAAATATGTATCAAGAGGAGCCTTGGAGGGGAAAGGAAGTTGCAAAAGTGCAAATGCATTCTGAGGGTTGTGGTGGGTGAGGCAGCAAGGGGAGACACCTGGGGGAAGAGCTGGGGACATTGCTGACTAACTGAATACACACAGATGATCCCAGGACAGTGCCACTCAACTGACTGACACTGTGCTCAGTTTCCTGGTAAGGGGACCCAGGCCGATGCCTTGGGCTGTCTTACCTTAAAGGCATCTCTGGTTACAGAACCTCATGGCCCATTGGAAAGACCACTAGCTCAGGGGTTAGGAAGGCTGGGGTCTGATTCTGGCCCTTCTCTAACTTGCTGTGCAACTTTATGGAAGCCATTGAACCTTTCTGGGCCTCTGTTTCTTCGTATGTAAAACAAAGGATTAATAGACCATTTCTGGGGCGCCTGGCTGACTCACTTGGCAGAGCATGCAACTCTTGATCTTGGGGTCATAAGTTCGAGCTCCACGTTGGGCATGGAGTTTACTTTTATTTTATTTTTTTAAAAGATTTTATTTATTTATTTGACATAGAGAGAGACAGAACACAAGTAGGCAGAGAGACAGGCAGAGAGAGAGGGAGAAGCAGGCTCCCTGCTGAGCAGAGAGCCCGACTCGGGGCTCGATCCCAGGACTCTGAGATCATGACCTGAGCAAAAGGCAGAGGCTTAACCCACTGAGCCACCCAGGCGCCCCTGGAGTTTACTTTTAAAAATAAATAAATTAAATCTTAAAAAAAAAAAAAACAGAGACCATTTCTAAGAGTCCTGCCCACCTTTCGGTTATCAGGTGTAGGTATCTATGATTTCAACCACATGGAAGGACACACCTGGGAGGCAGAAAGAATGTGGGGATGATTCTTAGTGCCTAGCCCAGTCATGTGGCAACAGCAAGTTCAGGACAAAAGATCAGAGACTGACCTGCAGCACCAGAGTCAGGACACGGCAGCTGACTGCAAACCTCAGCACCTCTTTCCTGGATGGGTCCAGGGGCCACATCCTCTCACCACCGGGAACTCAGGGGTGTTGCTGCTCGGACTGAGCTCCCACAGGCTTCTATACTCCAAAACCCAAAGAGGAAACCTCACACATGGGCCGAAAGTAAATTATTGTTATTTTTTTTTCCACAAAAGTAAATTCTTGAAAGCATTCTTTACAGGAGATTCCCCCTTCAGCATTACATGGCAAACTTAATTGCCCAACTGTCCTGTCCAGACGAGGGAGAAGCATCTTGAAGGCAGATGGGACCACTTGGGTGTCACTTGGAAGCACTGTATTGTCAGGAAAATTCTACACAGATAGGCATGAAATTAGTAGCTAGGCTCACAGAAAATCTTCAAAAGCCTGTTGGGTACCCCTGTGCAGTAACTAAAGACCTGGGTTCAAATCCTGACTTTGTTACTTGCAAGTTCTAATTCAGACCTTCTGAGCCTCAGGTCTTTAGGTATAAAATGGGATCAGACTGTTGTTGGTTTTTTGGTTTGTTTGTTTTTTTTTTCCCCCCAGACTATTTTCTCTCACAAAATTGTCATGATGGTGAAGGGATGAAAGTGTGAAGACGTACCACCAAATCCATGTTGTGGTTGCTATTATTTGGTGTGTGCCCTTTCCCTCTTGCCCAGAATAATAAACCAGATCCCAAACCAGAGTCCCAAAAGTGGGGCACAGGACTCAACTGGAAGACCATAATGACTACACACTGTAGCCTGGCTCTCTGATGTGTGTTCAGCTGGTCTGTTAAATTAAGTGGAGAAGGAAAAGAAAACCACCACTCAGCAGGGCTTCAGCCAGCTCACATTGCTAAAACAAACTGAGGGGGGAAGACAGAGTCGACTACTAGGGATGGAGAAAACTGTTATTTCCCCCATCTCTTTGTTGGAATGGCAGCAATGTACAAACAACTGAGAAGCCATTCTGAGGCAAGGAATGAACTTCAAGGCTTTTTTTTTTTTTTTTTTTTAAACGCAACTCCTTGGGCTAAAAGAAGTAGCAATGGCTCCTACAGAACATTCCAACACTAGTTTGGGAAATCAGAAGTGGGGGCCAGAGCACCAGAGGCAGCTCACTGATGATTTGGGGTGAACTATCCCTAAAGGAAGAAACATTTCAACTGGGAAATTAATAGCGAGGGTTGGAAGACTTTTCTTTCTTACCTGAGTAGTATCTATCAAATCTTTAGCTATCATTCATTTCTGGAATTCTCTGATGCTCACTAGACTATATGATATGCTCTCATTGCACTTTGCTTCGTCGTCTTTACTGCTGTGACTTATTTACGTGGCTCAGGAGGGCAGGGGCTTTGTCATGCTCCCAACTACACCCGCTGGGTCCGGCATTACAAACAGGCATTTCAAGCCTGCGTTTCTCACTGAGTGGAAGGGGCAAGAACAAGATACGGCATCACCAGTTCACTGGCTCGGGATATAAAGTCACTGCTTTAAGTATTCTTCCCGCCACATCTCACGTTAAGAGTATGACCTAAGTCACAGAAGCCACAGGAAAATACAATTTCTCCAGCAAGGGAGCAAGACTGGCCAATAGCAACAGTACACTTTTCTCAGCACAAGGGGGCGCCTGCTGCTCACGCCATCACCAGGCGGCCCGGAGGAAGGGAGGGGCCGTCATCGCCACACCGGTTTGCTCATCAAAATTCAGTTCAAAGACAAGCTTTTGAAAACCCCAGAGAGCGGCGGTAGTTTGTGAATCCATCCAGCATTTCCAGCATCTGACTCGCGGAATCGAGAGGAATTGTAGAAATCAGTACGGCCAGCCTCACATGGCCGCTGATTCCCCATCCCAGGGTGAATTCACTTTTTTTCCTTCCTTCATTTCCCACCCACATGCAGAAGAAAAGTTGGGGACAGAAAAGCACTTAACCCACCTCTGCCTCTTCACCAGGCTTCCATTCTTCCTTTCCTCTCTCCAGAGTCAAGCTCTAGCCCCAGCGACCACAGGATTCTTGTAACCTACACTTAGCTTATAGGTAAACTAAGTAAAAACAAAATAAAGCCAATGAGTTGTCCCTCTGGGCTAGTTGAAGACCTCGCTTCCCAACAACCCCTTTACGAAATCACAAACTCTTGAATTGGCAGGACGCTTAGGAGCAACTAGTTTTACTCTATTTTCCTGGGAGATAAATATGCCCAGAGTGGTGACTAATAAAAATCTCCACGGTTTAGACCCTGTGAGGCCAGTATAATTACCATCGCCGTTTAATGGATGTGGAAACTGAGGCTCATTGGGGTCATGTGACACACTCTAGGCTATATTTAAAGCGAGTATCTCCTTTTTTCCTTCTGGAACCTCATGATCTTCCCACCGACCCTCAACCAGGCCAAAGGGGATGTGCTCTTTCAGAGCCATGGTAATAACCCAGGACTCCCAACTCCAAGCCCAATACTTATCCAAAAACAGCGCATGCTCTTACTGGGTATGCTTAGGGAAGGGAGGGCCCTAGCTCAGACTCCGGAGAAGCCTGAATTGGAGCCCTGGACCCTTAGGAGTAGGACAGCGTCCTCTGTACAGTAGGGAAGTCTCCGTGACCCAGGGTCCTCGGGACCAGAGGCATCGCTGGCTGTCGCGAGCCACGGGCCGCCTTCTGCCAGCCCCAGCCAGGTCCGAAGCCCATCCTAACCCTTTCCTTTCGGACACAGTCCCAGGCGGGTAGTGGGAACCACCTCTCCCCAAAGGGGCCACGGTTCGGGGCTACTCCCGAGGGGGCCGGCGGGGCCCGGCCAGAGCCGGCCTACGGCCGGAAGGCAGGGGAGGGCGGGAGGCTGTAAAGGAAGTGGCGGCACCGGGAGGCCGCTATGGCGGAGGGGCGGGGCTCCCCGCTTCTCGGCGGCCTCCGCCTCATTTCCCTCGGCCTCCGTTTGACAACTCCCCCCCCCCACCCCCCCGAGAACTCCAAGGCTCCCGAGCTGGCGCCGGGTCCATAGTCCCGGCCCATCTCCACCTCCCAGGCGGGGCCCGAACCTCAGCTCCTTCATCCGGGACCCCGAGCAGCCTGCGCCTGCGCACCAGCTCCGCCGAGGCGGCCCCGCCTCCCTCCTGCCCGGACTCGGAGCTGCCCCGCCCCCCTCCGCGGCAGCCATCTTGACTCCGGGCGCGCGGGGTGGGGACGCCTTAGCCCCAAGAGTCTGTGCCCTCCGCCGTGGCACCTTCCCGCCTTGGTGACACCTGAAGAGTTCCCGCCTCAGGTCCCCTCCCCCGCCTTCAGTTAGCCCGTCCGTGCTACTGTGGCAGAGTCGGCGTTCTCGCCCGGTTGCAGCCCACAAACATCCACTGAGTTCCCGACGTGTTTGTGCGGAGGAGGCTCTTGGGGCCTCTTCACGGAAGCCAGACCCGCACTTTCCCTGCTGCCAGGCTTCAACCGCTCAGCACAGGGCCTGGCACACAATAGATGGTCTCTGAATAGAAAGAGAAGCCTTGGGGTGTCTGTGGCCAGCAGTGGCACCCTGCGTCCGGGGTGAGGAAAGTGGGGGGATCCCCCTTGCCTTTCCCTTCCTCGAGATAACGGGGACCTCGTGTCCCAATTCGATCCTCAGCCCCACCTCAGGTGGCTAATGAGGACGGTGCCGAGAACGCCCCCCAGGGCTCTTCTTCCTCATTCAAACAGTTGTCCTCGTAGGAAGTGGGGCCAAAAAAGAAGAAGCAACGCCCAAGAAGCCAACTCAACAAAAAAGGCTGTTAAGGGAGGAGCGGCCAGTGGGTACCCCTGTAACGGAAACTGTTAGAACAACTTTGCACCCTCCTTCAAGGAAACAGATAATAAATCCTTCTCCGTTGGTGGATTTCTCGTTTCTCAGGATTCCAAAGCCTTCTGTTGTTTCAGTTATCGGCCGTCTAAACGGAGCTGGGGTCTGCGTTAGCTTCTGGCCACAGACCTGGCGAGGGAGGGGTTTATCTTCTGCCACAGCTATTAGTGTGGGTGGGAACAAAGGGATGGTTGCTATCTCTCCAGGAAAGGAAACTTGGCCTCCCATCAGTTCTGTGAGGGCCAGGGAAGGCACTTTTTGATTCTAACTCATTTCAGACTCTGACACCCAAGCCGTCCTAAGATACTGTTGTGTGTGAGGTGGATATAGAAGAAATCACATATCAGTCCTGAGGTGAAGAAGGGAAAAAAATGGAGAAGACTCTTCCGCAGTTTTTTTCACTGACACACACTTGTTCTCTGCTCCAAAGGCCTGTCAGTGAATCGGCAAGGCTGTGTGCTCCAAAGGCCTGTCAGTGAATCGGCAAGGCTGTGGTGCACACTCGTGACTGGGGCCTGAGGTTGTGGCTTGAATCTCTAGAACTCCATGAGGCTCCCAGCAGTACTCTGTTTGCAAGACAAAACCGAGCAATGAACTGTACTTGCTTTGTGAATTCACAAGGGAAAAAGACAGGCATTCTTAAGGGTTTCTCCATCCACACCAAATTCCCTCAAAAATCTGTAAAAAATGACAGGAGTCTCTTGTGACAAGTCAGAATGTTTTCTAACAGCTCAACTGTCACCCGTTAGAGGTAAAACTTTGTCCAGATCTTCAGCTCTACTTTCCAGCAATTTCTCCTTCCTTTCCTTCTCTGCTACCTCCTCCCCCTTCCTCTCTGTTTCCTGTTTTATTTTCTAGCTCTTGCTCTGACAGGAAAACAAGAAAGCTGAACCTTGTGCTCTCAAAGCCCTGGCTTGTCAGAATGGAGGAAGACTAGGTGGGATGGGAGGGGGTTCTAGAAGGGTCTCCAAGGCCGTGGGTAAGTAATTGAGGAGGCAACTCTCTCCAGTCTGCTTTTGGAGTCTGCAGCTAAAATGGAGCCTGCATCCATCTACACAGGGAGCCAGCCGAGCAACCAGCACTGTGGGAGAGCCAGGGGGACAGAGACGTATCCAGGGGTTCCAGAAAGACTATCTACCACCCAGTCACTTCCACGAAGAAGCAAATATCCCATACCACCAACAAATGATTTCATAATACAAATCCCTGACCTAAACAATACAAGCAGTGCATCACTGTTTCTGGAATCCTAGAAGGTAAGAGAGTTACAGCATTCTGTGTCTCAGACTTGCCTGGCTCTGCTCTTGCTGCTTCCTCTGCTTGAAATGCCTCACTGCCAGACCACCCTTTGGCCAGGCCGCTACCTTCAGGTCTCAGCTGAAAGGTGGCCTCCTCAGAGAAGCTCTCTCCCACTACCGAGCCACAACCAGCCCCCTGTACTATCCCATCACCCTTTTCTATTATCTTCCTAGCACCTCTCACCACCTGATTGTCCTGTCTATGAATTTTACTGCTCTCATTGTCTGGTTCCCTCTTACGGAATATAAGCTTGAGAGAGCGGGGGCCACATTCACCGAAGTATTACCAGCACTTACAACAGAGCTTTGCACGTTGTGTGTACTCAGTAAAGATCTGGTTTATAAACCAGTTTGTTTAACCCGATACCTATATTTTATGGATGTGGGAACTAGGCTCAGAAAAGGGGGAAGTGGCCCTCCTGAAATTACACAGCTGGTGGCCAAGGCAAGACTTGCATTCAGATCTCCAGGCTGGCTTTTCTTCCTGCCACTCCACACTATTTTAAACTTTCTTGGGTTTGCTTCTTTCCCTCTCGTCCTTTTGTTCCACACAACTAAGAATCTGTACAGGCTATGCCAAGAACCCTGCACAGGGCACACCGCATCTTAACAGCTCCTAACTACTCTTTCCTCTAATAAATTCCTATCTTACCTATTCGATTTAGTGCACAAAATTGGAGTTCCTACCATGTGACAGGGGATCAGGATGTAGCTCTGAGCAAGACAGACACAGTCCTTGTCCTCATGGAGATGGTAATAATATCTACCTCATGGATTCTCTAGTGCTTGGCCCAAAGTGCTCGATGAAGACAGGCTGCTGTAATTGCCCTGAACGAATAGGGGGAAAAGCGGTGTTCCCACTGGAGGTGTGAAGAAGGAAGTTCGGCAGTTCTCATGGAGCCCTCACCATGCTGGGGCAACCTGACAACTCATTTCTTTCTGTAGCTGCCTTGCCTGGCTCCTGTACCATATCTGAAGATACCCTTGGCCCCAGACTGGGCAGAGGAACAGACCCGTGTATCCCTTCTCAGTAATTCAGTTTCATACACTAGACTTTCCACAGCCCCAGTCCCATGGGAATGATGGCATAGCTGACCCTGATCTTGGCTTTGAGGCCATGCCATTATGGGACAAAAGCGACCTCACTGGCCTCTGATTCTGTCACTGCCAACTTAGCAGGCAGGCAGGGGCTAATAACCTATGATGACAGGCAGCTGTGCCTTCCCAGAACTTTATCCTCTGTCTTTTCTCAGTGGGCATTCACTGGCAGTTTCCAAGGGTGCTGGGTGACATTTATATCCATCCTAAAATCTGGGGTGGCACCAATCAGGTTTTGGATGCTCTTTTTGGCCTCTGTTGTATCATTTGAAGATGTCCGTCCGCAGCGGGACAAAGACCCCGCTTGGCCTATCAACTGCAGGAGCCAAACACTGATCTTTTAAAGGCCATGGACACTAAATATTTTTCACCCTTCCGTCAGTGTTTGCCTTTCAGTAGTTAGAAAACCTTGACCCCACTGAGAGGCCTAGTGGGAAGGGCCTTAGCCACTTGGGGGTGGCAGTGGCTGCATGGCAAAAGAGCCAATGAGGTTGTGAGTATTGTTTGGGCCAGACTTGGCAGCTCTCCAGCTATGAAAGAAGGTTAAGGTCATTTGGGGGGTGGGGAGGGAGGAGCCTGGGAAAGAACTACTGGCCACACCCCTGGGTTCTCTACTGGCTAGGTTCTATTTACTTCTCAAAAGCAAATTACTCACAGCTCAGTGGCTAGCAGTTCTCTCAGTCTGTGGTAACTCCAGTCAGAAACTGGAGACCAGGCTAGGCTCCCCCTGCATTGCAGGGGAGCAGATGAAAGGAACCCAGGAAACCAAACTCCTAGGTAATGCTCCACACATAGCCCAGAAATGCACTTTCTAGACTAGAAATGGAGCTCAAGAGGCCCAGTACAAAAATAGTCATTAGCAACACAGCTCACCAAAATATAGATATGAAAAGTTTCCCATGTAGTTTTTTTCCCAGAAGGGTCCTAGGAAGGTGTCTTGGTTGACAAAGGTTAGCCATTGTCTCTACCTCCCCCTCAATCAATAGAGGAATACTGATTCCTGTCCCTGACCCAAATATTAACAACTGCACTTTAAAAGCACTTAGCTTGATGAACGCTTGATTGAAATTCTTGGGACAATTTTTACCTCATGCTGACTATGACAAAAATCAATCTTGCCTGTTGAGCTCCGAGGCTAGATTCAGTTACTCCTACCTGTCCTCTGACCCCGGAAGGAGGGCCTCGGTTGTGGAACCTCACTTGGTGCTTGAGCTCAAACCAGCTGCTTTCCTCGACTGTAAAATGGGAGCCAGAATACTGAGTCCCAGGCACCGTCCTCGATCCCTTGCAGGATGATGTGATGAACAAAATCTGGTACACAAGTAGGTACTCACTAGAAAACTTGTTACAGGTTTCACTTCGAAGGGTCCACAACGTCATTTTCTCTGTTACTGCTTGTGGTCTCTTCATTGTTTCCCTAAGGAAGGAGATGAACAGAGAAGCTGTATATTGCAACATTAGCCTTATAAAAGTAACCACATCTGGCCAACATCTACAATTTCACTCAACAACTATTTAAGTGGTCACCGTGTGTCATAGGACCCGGATGTAGCAGTGAACAAAATAATGCTCTCAGCTCACATTATAGTGGGA